TAGCTGGGACTACAGGCGCTCACTACAACGCCTGGCTATTTTTTTATTGTAGTCGTCACTGTTGTTTGTCAGGCCCAGGCTGGGTTCGAACCTGCCAGCCCCGGTGTATGTGGCCGGCACCCTAGCTACTGAGCTGCAGGTGCTGGGCCCTTAAAGTTTTTTAATTAAGGAAAGTTTTCAAAAACACACAGGAAGAATAAGCTTCCCCACAACCTAATTCAGTTATCAAGATTTTGCTGCATTTGCTTTGTCCCTTTTCTCTTCTTACTCTCTTTGCTGAAATGTTTTAAAGTAAATTCTGGGCATCATGTAATTTCACCCCTGTTTACTTCAATGTACATCTCCTAGCAATATGGACATTTTCTTCCCTAAGCATAATGCCGTTATCACCCCTACTTCTTTTAGTAGTATGTAATCTGATTTCCCTGGTTATCTCCAACGTATCTTTTTATCCTTGGCTGGGTTGTTCAATCACAATCCATATAATTTCTGCTTATATTTGGTTGTTACGTCACTTTACATTTTTCTTAATCTACAACAGTCTCCCACTTTTTTCCTCATGCTACCGACTTGTAAAACTCTAGTCACTTGAACTGTAGATTGTCTCACATCCAGAATTTAGCTGATTACATCCTGGTGGCATCACATAACTTTGTCCTCCAGCAGCCCTATTACTTGTAAATGAACTTTTTGGTCTTGGCACCCCTTTGTACTCTTAAATTATTGAGTACTTCAAAGACCTTTCAGATATGTGAGTTACATCTACCAATTTTACTGTGTTAGAAATTAAAGCTGGTGGCTGGGCACAGTGGCTTACATCTATAATGCTAGCACTCTGGGAGGCCGAGGCAGGTGGATTGCCTGAATTGAGGAGTTTGAGACCAGCCTGAGCAAGAGTAAGACTGTGTCTCTAAAAATAGCCAGGGATTGTGGCAGGCACCTGTAGTCCCAGCCACTCAGGAGGCTGATGCAAAAGGATTGCTACTCTACCCAAATAAATAATTAAAAAAAGAAATTAAAGCTGAGAAACTAAAAATATTTATTTACTAAAGCAATTAAATGGAATAATAAGGAACCTATTACTTGTTGTGGAAACATACTTTAAAAGGAAAATAGCTGTATTTCCCAAAACCAAACAAACCAGAAACATGGCCTTGTTTTATATTTTTGCACATCTTTAATGTCTGCCATAATAGAATAGGCTTCTGTATTCATTACCTTTGAAATCATGCCAGGTAGCTAAGTAAATTTGGAAAATTCCAATATACGTACATGAGAGAATGTGAAAAAGGCAGACAGTGTCTTAGTCTTATGAGAGTTGTTTTGACCCTGTGGACCAAAGGGTCTTCTGGATCACAATTTGAGAAACAAGCTGCCCCAGGGGCTTGATTAAGTTCAGGGTCAACTTTTTTGGTGGGAACACTTCATGGTGCTGTGTGCTTCATACTTTATCATTAGCAGGCACACCATATCTGGTCATCTCACTTACTGATTCTAAAGTTCATTGGCAGGCTTGGCTGAGCCGCTGTGCTTTTTGAATAACCACACTCGGCTTAGCTAGAAATTCAGTATGCTCTGCAGCTC